AGGGGGCATGCAGCAGAAAACTGATCAGTGATTCTCTCTCATCATTGATGTTTCTATCTCTCTCTCTCCCTCTCCCTTCCTCTCTTATATAAATAAATATTTATTTTTTTAAAACACAAACCCTTAGGATGGAGGGCCCAGGGGCTCTCCCTCCAGGGAGCACGCCCATGCCTTTCCCTTCCCTCTCCTCCGCCAGGCACGTTCCCATCAGCTTCCTCACTCCCAAGCTCCAAGGCCTCCCTTTACCTCTAGAACTTGTCTGCTAAGCCCGTTTCTTCTAGGAATTGCTTCTTCTGCCTCTGCAACTTACCAAATAAATGTTCTCTTACATTTGGGTCTTGGCTCTGAATTCTTTCTTAGTCGGAAACCAAGTACCGAGGTTGCTGAACCCAGGTTTGGTCTGACCCCACGGGTCAGACTCCTGGTGCCTACAACACTGCTGGCCTCGACTTCCTCTCTGGCCTGGACTTCCTCTGTGGCCTGGTCTCAGTGCAAGGGGAGGGGGGGGGGGGCGGGGTGTGTGTGGGGTTAAAGGTGAGGTTGGCAGAGGCAGGGAATGAAAGGGCATTGGGCCGAAACTGGTTTGGCTCAGTGGATAGAGCATCGACCTGCGGACTGAAGGGTCCCGGGTTCGATTCCGGTCAAGGGCGTGTACCTGGGTTGCGGGCATATCCCCAGTAGGAGGTGTGCAAGAGGCAGCTGATCGATGATTCTCATCAATGTTTCTAACTTTCTATCCCTCTCCTTTCCTCTCTGCAAAAAATCAATAAAATATATATATTTTTTTAAAGGGGGCATTGGGAGGAGGAGTCAAGGAGGTTTGAGAAGTCCCTGAACAAAATCGTTCCAGGGATGGAGAAAGGAAACACGGGAACCGTATTTAATGTTCTAACTATGGATTAAATGGGGCAGGGTGGGCGGGATTTGGTTCTCTGTTTTATGACTGGGGATGAGGCAGAGATGGGAGAATCCAAGTTTCTGAATGGGGCAGCTGAGATGGGTCCAGGTGAGGGGAGATCAGCCACCTGAGTGGGTGCCGACTGCCCAGGGACACCCCAAATAGAAGGGGTGAGCTGAACTATGAAGGGGGAGAGCCAGGTGGCAGGAAAACTTTGGGCACCTTCTCTCCCCTCACTAACCCAAGCTCCACCTGGGCCGGGAGCTGCCTCCTCCATGAGGCCCGTCGGCCAGGGTACGCCCTCTCCCTGTGCTGCTGGAGACCACCCTGGTGTGGCGCCTGTCCTCCCTCCAGGGCACTGAGGCAGGCTGCCCCGCAGTGTGGTCCTGGCCCTGAAAGGCGCTCAGTGAAGTCCCTCTGGCCAGGTGAGGAGTGTCGGCCACCAGCCACACCTGGCTTCTCCTAAGTGGTCCTCTTTCCCTGCCCACCCAAAGCCAGCCACCCCTCCCCCAGGATCCACACACCCGCACCCCAATTCTGACTTCTTGAGGCTGAATGTCAAATCCCAAACCTGGGTAGCAGGAGGGCTTGAAGGCCCTGCCACCTCAGTTCCTGCCTCCGAACCCAAGGCCCCACCCAAACCGCGGGCCGGGCGGCAGCGTGGTGGCTCATCTTATCCTGATTTTGAGGAGCTGTGGGACTGGCACCAGCCCGACTTCATCAATAACCATGCCTACCGGGCGTGGATGGAAGCGTTAGGCCCTGGCCTCCCTCAGCATCTCCTCCTGAGCGACCGTAGGCGAGTCTTTCAACATCCATTTCTGCAGAGGGTCCTCAGAGAAACTACTCCCTTCAACGGGGAGCACTCTGCCTGGCGCCCAGGAAAGCACTCAGCAGGTGGTGGCTATCATTACGCAGCTCCCCGGCGTGCTGATGCACGTTAGAGCCAACGGCAAGGCCTTTGACAGCTCCCAGCCGGGCACCTCCTGCCTGCCCCTCCGCCCCTCTGCACGGGTGGTAATTAGGGCTCTCCTTGGGTGTGCTCCAGAGGGGAGGATTGGGCTTATTCTGGGTCATGGAACTAGAATAAATGAAGGCAGGTTTCAGCTCAACCGAGAAAAAAGCAAAATGTTCTTTTTGATGGTAGTGAGCTCCCCATCACCTCAACGAACCAGCTGGCCCAGTTGGCCATTCGGCACGAAGGCTCTAGAAGAGCATCAATGGACAGGTGGTAGCATTTCTTAGCACCAAGTTGTATTACAGGTCCCTTGAACTAAATGGTGGTGCCAGGAGGTACTGCTCTGTCAGTATTTGGCAAAATGAAAAATTGGCCATTCTTACTTCGGCCATCCAAAAAGGCTTACTGAAATCCTATCAGATTATGATACCTAACATCTTACTCCCCACCCCCTCCTGGATCCAAGGTTTAAGAGCTTCACCAGATACCTATACGACTCCTGGTTGGTGACCATCTCGTTTTTTGTTTTTGTCTTTATTTTTGAAAAGTATTACAGACATCACCTTCACCTTAGTCTTTTTCCCATTGACCCCCTCCACCCCATGCCTGCACCTCCCAGGCCTGCACCACCCTAGTCTCTGTGCCCACGGGTTATACAGTGCCCTTCTCATGCAAGTCTGAACCTAAGTCATGGCTCAGATCAACCACAGAAATCTCAGGTCAAGTACCACAGAGGTCCTTGACTAGCAAGTACCATTGGGGCGGGGCTGGGCAGGCAGACTGACCTGTCGCTGGAGTTCCCGTGGATGGGGAAGGAGACTAGAGCAGGGGCTCTGAGATTCCTCCACTTCCCGGAGTGCCTGGCCCGGGACTGGGGAGGTGGCCCGGCAGCCTGCCCAGCACCAACTCTCAGCCTCCCCACTTCTTCCTCCCAGAGGTGCGTCCCTCGGAGAACCTGTCCTGGAATCAGGGGGCCAGTGACCTTGAGCAAGCAGGGAGGGATGGACCCGGGTTCCTGAGACTATACCCATCTCCCAGTGCAACCTCCGACACAAAACAAAACCCTTTTCTCAATTCTTTCATGCTTTGAAAAAAAAAAAAAAAAAAGACTTTTGCCGAAACCGGTTTGGCTCAGTGGTAGAGCGTTGGTCTGCGGACTGAAAGGTCCTGGGTTCGATTCCGGTCAAGGGTATGCACCTTGGTTGCGGGCCCATCCCCGATAGGGGGTGTGCGAGGGGCAGCTGGTCGGTTTCTATCTCATCGACGTTTCTAGCTCTCTCTCTCTCTCCCTTCCTCTGTAAAAAAATCAATAAAATATATATTTTTTAAAATGACTTTTGTAACTCTGAGCTTCCTAGGGTTGACCCCATGACAAACTCAGGGCACCCCCAGCCAGCTACACCTGAGGGTCCCCGCCTAACTAGAGTGTCTGTGTAGCTCCAGGTCTTTCTGCACACAGAACTGGCCACGGAGAGGCAGGCTGTTCTGGACATTCCTTTCGCCATCCCTCTCCCCAACCAAGCGCTGGGCCAGGGAGACCCCCAACTGTCCAGACTCCTGACACCACCCCCCCCACACACACACACACATCCCACCATAAGACAAAGGAGCTGGAGGACAACGTGGAATCAAGTGTACATTTTAAAAATTGTTTAATGGAACATAAACTCCTTTAGAAAAACATTCAGCCAGGTGATAACACCCATAGAAAAAAACACCAATCTTGTGTTTATCTTTTTTTTTTAATTTGGCATTTGTTATTTGCATTTATATTAAAGCAAAGTGCATCTTTTCTTTTATTTTTCTTGTTTATACACATTGCACAATACATAAATAATGATGCTTATAAAACGTCTTTATATTTACAAGTAATAATATATTTATATATAACATAAAATACATTTTTTTCTCTAATAAATCTCATGGTTTTTTTGTTTTTTGTTTGTTTTTTTTTCCAGGAGTCCTTTCTCTCAAAAGCACTACAATGCTAAATTTCCAATGAGAATGCTTCTCTTGTTCACTTAAACCTTTGTAGTTAGAAAAATAGCTTATGTTAAAGTCTAAACATGCTCATTGAGCTAAGAGCAGTGTCAACACGTCATACGAGTGTATGAGTCGGAGGAGAAACGAAAGGAGAGTGAGGCATCAGTCCAGGATGGTACCTTGGGTTACGACGGACCGAATCCTTGGTGGGAAGGGGGCTGCTCCCCTCGCTGGTCTAACAGCAGAGCTCAGCACAGGCCGCGGGGAGAGTGCCGAGCTGGTTTTCTGAGTCCGGGTAAAACCTGAGGGGCCCGGGGCGGGGGAGAGGCGGAGGGAGGGCCTGAGAGGGCACCGGGTGAGCATCGCTGTAGCTCAGACACATCCAGGAGCAGGTGCCGAAAAGGGAAGACAATGGCAGCAGGGAGGCTGGAGGGGGAGTTAAGACAAACTTGAAAACAACCGATTCTGGGTCAACCTCATTCTGGGTCAACCTCTTTGCAGCGATGTTTCTAAGAAGCCTAGGGACAGGCCTGGGTCCTTAGAAGGGGAGGTGGGGCGGGGACTTCCCTGGCTGGGGGCAGAGCCTTGCTTCTGGCAACGGCTGGGACGCTGGGCGCAGGCTGCCCGGGTACTGTCTCTGCCCCACTGAGCATGCCCAGAAGGCAAGGGAGACACAGCTGGGAGCACAAACCTCTCAGCTGGAGATGCCACTGAGAAGCACAGAGCTCCCGGGCAGGCACACAGATACACACACGCATGTCCACATACCCACTCTGACAAGTGAAACGATGGCCCCCAACGTTAGGGGCTGCTCCCCGCTCATACACCGTGTTCAGGGGGGCTGATTTTTGCTTCCCCTTTTCACACGGGGGTGTCCTGCCAACCGTACGATTTCACCGCCCCTCACCCAAAAAGACCCCAACAATTCTTTTCATAAGCTATTTCTCAAAGAACAAAACAAAACGGAACATAAACAAGAATGACAAGAAGGAAGGGGGTTGGGGAGTGGAGGGGGGTGGGGGGAGGGGGGAGAAAAGAACGATGACCAAAGAGTTTTGCATGAAAAGCAAGCACTCAGGAGGAAAATATTAGCAGCAAAGTAGTTTGGACTGGGCCCGCCCGGCTCGCTCTGTCCTCGCCCGCGAGCGCACAGGCGCGCGGCTACCGGCTGTTGAAGATGACCTCCAGCCAGCACGGACAGCTGCTGATGAACTGGCGGGTGTAGCACTGGCCCCAGCCCTTCACGAAGCTGATCTGCACGGTGAAGCCGGTCCACGGCTGCTGCATGAACTCATGGTCGTTGGGCCGCTGCAGGCTGTACGCCTTCTCGTAGTCGAAGGCCTTGATGGAGAAGCCGGGGAACACCTTGTGCACCAGCAGCGTCCTGGAGTCCGGGTTGTCCAGTGTGGCCGACTTGATGAAGATGGGGTAGCTGCTGCGGTTGTACACCCACACGCCGTCCACCTCCCGCGTGAGCTGGATGCCGCAGCCGATCTTGCTCCGCACTTTCTGCACCAGCTGGCTCTTGTTGTCCGAGTTGAGCTGTCCGAGGCAAAAGCCGTTCCCCTGAGGTAGATCATAGAAGATGTCCAGGGAGGGCTCCTGGACGCAGTAGAGCCGCCCCACGCGCGTCTTCTCCTCCCAGTATGCCACCACGCACCAGTGTGACCGATCCCCAGGCTCCAGGAGAAGTTGGGAATCTGCAAGACAAAACGGCGGGCGGTTGGTGGGGGTGGGGCTCTCCGCTTCCTCCCGGAATCGGCACACCACACAGGCGCATCCCCAGGCACCCACATCGGCTGGGCTCTCAGCACAGGACAGGAGGAGACGGGCGCTGGTGGTGCTGGGTGTCCTACCGACCGGTTCCCAGTCCTGCCACCGGGGCCGGCAGTCCTGACCGGTAGACGAGTCCATCCTTTAATTAAGCAGGGGGCTCACTGGGCACACCTCAATCCCAGCCCTTTCTTTCCCCGTCCTGTCAAGGACTCACTCACCAACCAGTACGTGTGTGCTCCCCCTGCCCCCAACCTAAGGAGCACTCAGAAGCCAGGGGGGCCCTGCTGGACCTGGTGTTAAAAGCCACAGGAGGCCTCGCAGACAGCCTAGAATTCGTTCTGTAAGCTGATGGCATCCTGAAGGCCAGTGCCCTGCGCCCCGGGCGGCCATCCTGATGAGACTCCTGGGCCCCAGAAAAGCTTGTTGCTCGGGCCCCAGAGCCTGCCACAGCCAGGCCCAGGCCCAGGCCTCCAGGCTCCAGGCCCATTTGCTCTGAGGTCTCCGTGACAATCACCAAGTTCTCAGATCAGAGCTTTGGGCAAAAGAGCTGTCTGGTAAAAATGTAAATGGGGGTGTGTTTTGGGGCAAAAGACTCTCCCTAACAGGAAAACAACCCTCGGTGTCTGTCGGCAGCAGCACTGCACACAAAGAGTGGATTCCCGCCAACATGCCACATCACAACCCGGGACAGGTCCAGCTCACCCAGACAGACCACCTTAACGAAGCTCCCTCCAGCGGACAGAAGATTATGTGTCTACACTGGGCATGGCCACCCTTAAAGTGCCCTTCTCTGCTCACACCCCTCCTCCCCTCCCTCCCGGCAGCATCTGGGCGCCTGGCCTGCCCCCTCCTTCCTCCCGCCCCTGCAGGCCCCACCCCAGCCGTCCCAGAAGTGCCTCTTCCCACAGGCAGCCTGGGAGAGGCCGGGGAGATCCTGGTAAGGTGATTTTCCTGAACTAAACCGGCACACGAAGCCCTTTTAAAGGGGGATGTATGGGAAGGAAAGGGAGCCCTTGGCGGCTGGCATTCCGACTCCGTAAGCTGGAGCCAGCGGGGCAGGCCTCGGACTGGGAGCCATAAATCTCCCCAGCCAGGCCGGGCTGCAGGAACGAGGCTGCGGTTTGTGGTGGCAGGGCGGAGACCGGAAGTCTTGTATTTGTTAACAAAAATGGGGAGAGGGGTGGGGGGGGGGGTAGGAGGCAAAGGCTTAGGACAGGAAGGAGGGGTTGGCTGTGAGGTGTCTTTCGGTGTGCTTGGCCTTTTTGATTTTGGAACAACTGGGCTTGGAGAATAGAGGGATTGTTGCAGCAGGGCTGCGGGATGGAGGGGGGCTGCCCCGCCCCCCATCTGCTGCCCCCGTGCAGCTCAGCACCCAAGTCCATCCGGTGTCCACAGGCATGTTAGGACCTGGGAGCCCCATGAGCTTTTTTTTTTTAAAGCAGCAGCCAGTCTCCCGTGGAGGTGTGTCCCATGAGTAAGCGGACGATGTGCCCTCTGACCCACAGAGGCAGCCAAGTGCACACGCTGCATGGCTGCCTCCTGCAGAGACTCCACCTGGTCTTCTCAGAGGCCTGCCTGACAGCCACACAAATGGGGGGCGGAGAGCCCATTCCTTCTCTTAATCCCCAACCCCACCGAAAACCAACCCAGAACATGGCCTGCCACCACCCCTCACACACACACACACACACACACACACACACACACACGCACACACGCGCGCGCGCGCACGCACCGGTAAAGCACAAGTGTGAGCGAGACTATGTGTCCCCCCCAAACGTGAGCACACTGTGTGTGTGTGTGTGTGTGCGCGCGCGCGCGTGTGTGTGTGTGTGTGTGTGTTTGCATGCGCACACATGGGAACATATGGAAAAACAAGAGAAGGACAAGGGCTCCCAGCAGAAGGTGACTCATCAGGCATTAACTTGTTTCTGCAAAGGATCCATCAACTGCTAATAAACCCGTGAGCGCTGGCAATCTTTGAACTTGCTTGCTGAGGGAGCTCGGCCCTGAAGGCGACACCAAGACCCACAGCAGCCGCATAAATGAGTGCTCTGCGTGCAGGGCGCTGGGGGGGGCACCTCTCCTGGAAGAGGGGGTGTCCATGGGGGGGGGGTGTGTCAGAAATGTAAGCAGCTCTCCCTCACTGTCCCAACGCCGGGCAACAAACCTGGCTGGAAGGGGGCCACAGGGAGGGGGTGCAGGAGACCTCCAGCAGAGCCTTACAATACTTTGCTCCATGGAGCCTGGCCCCCTGAAACCTGGCCCCGGCTAGGAGGGAGGAGCAGCTGCCGGGTGGGGTGGGGTAGGAGCCTGGGATCAGTTGCCCTCGTGCCAGGCCCGTGGGCAAGACATAGGGGGAGCCGTGTCGCCCCACGGGCCTCTTGGGGGCAGAGGAAGCCGGGAGGGGCTGGGGCGGGGCTGGGCCCGAGGTCGGCTGGACTCCAGCCCAGCCCAGCCCAGCGCCGGAGGGGAGAGAGGGAGAGGGGAGCGCTCTGGCGGGTTTCTCTTTCATCTCTGCAGCCTGCCAGTCCACCCAGCAATTTGCTGCCAGACATCCCTGGAAAAAGCCTTTTTCTGTTGAGGTTAATGGCCCGGCCCAGATAAACGGCAGCGTGTGGGAGTCCCTGTGTGTGAACGAGGCCCCTGAAAGCTCACCAGGTGCCCCGATCCGATGCACGGGGACCCCCGAGTCACCCCACAGCCTGCTGCCCGCCCACCCGCCCGCCTGCTGCTCCAGGCCGGCTCTGAGCACCAACAGCTGCAACCACTAAGGCCCCTTGAATGCATACTGTGAGCCCAGCACGGCCTCCCGCCTGGCAGAGCCTGGCAGATCCGGGGATTCTCCTCCTTTGCCCCAAATTCCCCGTCACTCAGGCTCACTTCTGGGAAGCGCTCAGCATCCTCTTCAGAGAAACCCAGTTCCCTGTGCTGGGCCCACAGCCCACAAGCACAAGCTCTCCCCAGGCCTCGCAGCGAGGACCCCTCGATCAAGAGGAACCTTCCTGGTTAGCTGGGACCAGGGCTAAGCAAGGATCTCGAAGCCCAGCTTGGCTCCTATGGCAGCTGCCGCCACAGACAAGTCCCACGCACCCCCTTCACCTCCCTCCGCTTTACAGCCTTTTCCCTCCTCAGTACCCTGCACGGGGGGCTTGTTTTAAAACGGTATTTGCGCATTTTTAAGCATCAAGAAGAAAAGCTGTGTTGTAAAAAGCTAATCAGATGCCTGCTCAATTTTTTTTTTCCTTTTTATTATAGTTTAGGGAATTTTTGGAGCGATCCAAGGAAAAAACAAAACAAAACGCTGAATCGGCCTAAAATCCCTGAAATATTGTAACCCCCCCCCCCCGACTCCCCTTTCCCATTTCCCTTAAAGCATCAAGTCGACCCTTGAAGAGGAAGAAGGCCTTCGCCGGGAGCTCCCTGCCACTCACAACGCGCCGTCTGAGAACCCCGTCATGAATGGACAGACCGGGCCCTTCGAGAAGATCGGACAGAGGCTCGTGAATGAAGCTCTGGCCGGGGTCTCAAGGACATGGGGTGACAGATCTCAGGGCCAGATCTCAGGTAGGGGCAGAAGTCTCCCCTTTAAGCATTCTTTATCTGAAGGAGTAAAGCGATGAGGGGGAAACAGAAGAAGGAAGGAGAGGCGAGGCCAGTGCCTCGACGCCGGCTTCTAAGTCCACACCACCAGACCAGGAAGCAAGCAAACGCTACTCCCAAAGCGCCAGCGAGAAAATTCTTCCCTCGCCTACAATCTGACCTGGAGATCTGGTCACCCCATGCCACTGAGAACACGGGCATGTGTGAGGAGGCGGCGGCCATCTGAGCCTGGCTGTGCCCACACAGAGGTGGGGCTTAATGGGGAGATGGTCCCCCCGATTCTGGCCTTCCAGGACAGGCACACACTTGAGAAGCAGGGCAGAGGCACACAGCTGGTGCCCACGGTCTCCAGTGCCCCCCCCCCACTGCCAGGGTGCAGGGGGCTGCAGTGCCAGGTGAGCAAGGAGGGGTCTCCAGTCCAGCTCCCCTCTGCAGGCACCTGGGTTGTAGAAGGGCATTTCTCTGTCAAAACCCAACAGCGGGCTAGGCCTGGGACCCCCCTCCCCAGGGTCCTAGCAGAGCAGGAGACGGAGGGTGGGGAAGCCAGGGGAGCTGGGCGTGGGCAGGAACGGCGGCCTCACCCAGGCTGGCGAGGGCAGATGAAGGGCACAGAGCAGACCCAGAAGCCAGAGCCAGCAGCCCTGGAACGCAAACACCACCACGCCTCGCCCGCGACAGGTCCAGGGTCCTCTCTCCTCAGAACGCCGGCGCCACCAGCGGTTGCCTCATCCCGCCTTCCCCCCACAGACATCTCAAAGGTTAACAGCACCGCCAGGAAGCCGCTGCTCCCACAGCCGGCCCACCTCGGGGAGAAGGGCCCATCGTCCATCTGCTCTCATCCCAAAGACTCTCAACTGTCAAGGACCCTTGCCGGGCTCCTGTTTTCAAGAGGCAAATGACCCGGCACTAAAGTGAACATATAAAAACCGGACGAGGTGTCTGGGTGCAGCTTGGGTTCGGGATCAGCTCTAATCGGCCATGTTCCACCCTGGCCGGGACCCTCAAGATCAGGATTCCGATCCCCGGACAGCACAAGGCAGCTCGGGGTCTGGGGCGAGCTGCCCCCGAGATGGACATGAACTCCAAGGGCATCCGTCTGGCTCAGAACCCACCTCGCACCCATGCGCCACGCACTTCCCCCGAAAGGTCCAGAGGAGGGATTAGGGCTGAGAAAGCAGGTTTCTGTGACAAGGTTCTCTCCACGAAGGCAGCTGGACTGAGGGGCGGGCAGGGGGAGCCACAGGGTCTCCTTCAAAGGCTGGGTACTTGCTCGGCTCCCTGGGCCCAACCGAGTTCCCCAAATCCCGCCCCTCAGGGACTC